ATGAATCCATGACTCACCAACTACAGAGTCTGAATGCCCTACAAATTAGTCATCAAAGTGCGGTAAGTGAGTTCTCCTCTCTACCCCCTTGTGATACCCCTGGTTGTACAGTACATTATACCTCTCATAACTCTCCTCTGCTAAACACTTAATGCAAGACTTCCCACCACTGACTAAAACAAGTTCGACTTAAAGAAAAGAGAACGACGACGGTTTTACATCGCCTACCAATAGAAGGCTAACTAAAAATCTTAAGACTAACTCTAATCCAGAGCTAAATTTGAAACGCAATTTAAACAATAAATTTTCCGCCTTAAAAAATATGGAACCCAGTATTGAACCTATAGCGGGAACTTCTTCCGTCTCAAATACAACCTCAGTCACACATAACAGTAACACTACTAAAGTCACTTGTAATAATACGAACACCTCTAACTCAAACACAATTAACATCCCCTCGTCATGCTTAGAATTACATTAACATTCAGAGAACAGATGAAAACTTTAAATGACTTAATGTCCAAACTCAGGAATGAAAAAAAAGGCGAGTATACATAAAATTATACACTGACACACTAGACGAATACCATGAAATAGAAAATCTCCTTGAAAAATTAAAATATGAGTTTTACTCAATTATCCCCAAAGACAAAAGACCAATTAAAGTGGTCATAAAGATAAAAACATCAGATATACACAGCGACCTCGTAGATTTCGGATTCACCGTCAACCGGGTCACTCAACTTGTAGGCAAGATTACCAATCAAGCCTCAATGTATTCTTAGTTTCACTACCACGTTACTTGCATAACGCAAAAATTTTCAGCGTTAACAAAATATCCTACTTAACTGTTAGAGTAAAAGGCTACGATAGCAAAGGGGTAACCTAATGCTATCAATGCAACAATTTTAACCACACGATCTACAATTGCCACCTCAGGCCCAGATGCTCAAAATGTGAAGAGGCCCACCAGACGGCTGATTGCGAAATTAAACGAGTAGATACCATGTTCTGCATCAACTGCCAAGTCTTCGGACACATGGCAAATTATTCAAAGTGGCCACTATACCCAGAGCCCAAAAAAGGAACAACCACTAAATCCAATTACACGAACATATTAACTGCCTAGTCAGACCCAACGTTTCATTTCACAAGCCCCTCAAAATAAGCAAAAACCTACTACTTCCACTGCCCCCAACAGATGGCACCACGAGTCGGACAAGTTCCCACAATGAATAACCCATAAACTCAGGTCGTCATATCCCAGATTCTCCTCCCCCCTTCCTCAGATAAAAACCAGCAAAAACGATTGCATGAATTTAATCTCTCAAACACTAGTTCAAACCATTCAAGCTCTCTCAACGTTAGTTAAGCAAATAAATAATTTTAATACAGTCAAAAACATCCCGAAACCCACAACTAACAAAAAAAAAATCAAAACTTAACGAGATGTACGCCTTAATAGAGGCTTGATTAGACGCAAATGATGATTAAAAAACCACTGCACGTCCTGAGTTTGTGTTCTTGGAAAGCAAACGGCATTTTGAACAAATATTCTGAATTCAAATTATTTGTAGAGAAGTACAGCCCCGATATCCTCTCTTCTCATTCAGGAAACACGTTTGATATCCAATAATCCAAATGCTACAGGAACGACAGCATCTCTGACGGCCCCGCACAAGGTGGTACTTTAATTCTCATTAAAAATTCTATCCCTGACTTAAACCCCCTCTTAATGACGTCGAAACTACCACCATAACATTAAATCCCTCGAATACTAATCTAGTTACCATAACTTGCATTTGTGTTCCCCCTCAGTCTGATAAACTACTATTTCCTCTCGACTTAGAATCTATTCTCCAGATTATCAGTAATTGATTGATCTTTTGCGATTTTAATGCCACAAACAATACGTGGAATTGCTCCAGCAACTCCACTAGAGGCAACCGACTCAAAAACTTTGCTGATATTATACTAATCTAGAAATAGCTTTTCCTAACTCTCCTACCAGGTATGGCTAAAATGCTTATGATATGATAGACTTCGCTCTCATTAGCAACTTTAACTTTCCCTACAGCATTGTTTCCATACCTGAACATTCCTCTGATCATAACCCGGTTATGCTCACTTTCTCACTAACTATCACTATATTCATAAAGATAATCATAGATCAATTTCCACCTGTTGGTCTGCTTTTAAGAAAAATATTAATAATCCCATTGGTCTTTGACTTTAAAAATATAACAAACCTGACTTCTCTGGAAGAAAAAATTTCTAAGTTCACGGATGAGGTTCGCTCCACCCACAAGCTCTCTTCTAGTCAAATAGTAAACAAGCACCATAGCTACACACCACAACACATCAAAGATTTGATTTTACAAATGAACAGGTTCAGAAAACAATTTCAACGCACACTAAATCCACTGCATAAAGCCGAAGCCAATAGACTTCAGGCTCTTTAATTAAAAAAGAACTCAATATACACGCGAAAAATACATGGAATACTAAATTCGCCTCATTTAACACGCAGGATAACAATATCTGGCACACCCAGAAATACATTCGCAAAACTCGCTCATGTTTTCCAAATTAAAACTGCTCTTCTGGCATCGCTAGCAACGATGAACAGAAAACAAACTTAATTGCAAATACTTTCAAAGACAAATACACTGAAAATAAAACACCAGAGAATTTCACGACCAATATCGACTCTGACGTCACTATCATTCTAGAAAATTTCTTATCCTCCCCACCCCTCACTCCAATTCCTCCTACTAATCCGGACAAAATCTGCAATTACATCCCAACTCTAAAGAACTCAAAAGCACCAGGTTTCAAGTCCATTACAAATAAATATATTAGAAATTTTCCACTGGTAATCATTCTTCTATTAACCTATCTTATCAATAAATTTTTACTATTCAGGCATTTTCCAAGATATTGAAAAATTTCAATTGTCTTTTCTATTCACATACCAGGGGAAAAGAAACATCTCCCAGATTCTTACAGACCAGTAAGAATAGAATAAAAGTTAGATAGACCAGTTAGATAAAGAATTCCCATGGAAACCACACATGCTACACGCGCGTGATAAAATCCGGAAAGCATTAAGGTCAATCTGCCCCCTAATTAACCGGAATTCCAATGTATACCTATATAGCAAGTTACTTCTCTACACTGCCGTATTGCGTCCCATCCTCAGCTACGCTTGTCCTGCGTGGGGATATGCAGCAAATACCAAAGTTAAAATACTTGAAATTGCACAAAATTCCACTATCAGAAAAATAGTTAAAGCATGCGGATAAACCAAAAATTCAAATATCTACAAAGCAAGTAAAATTGAACCATTTAAAAATCATATTCAAACCCTCGCCAAAAGATTCTTTGATAAGCTCCCAAATATAAACAATATCAACATTATTAATCTTGAAAACTACACGCCAATGGATCATCATAAAAGGTCTAGGAGAATCCTCCTAGACTCTTACAACCCACCATAATTATTTTTCCTGGTCACTCACCTTGTAGTGAATGAGGCCCCCCCCCCGAATGCTAAATTTTCATTTTTAAATTTTCATGTTTATTTCTTATTTACTTTTAATCTAACTCTAATTTCCCTTCGCTGCACCCCCACCAGGCCCCCCATTTAGATTTTGTGTTCCCCTCATTTACCCAACCCCTGTACAGCGAATAGAGAGGAGTTTCACTCAGCTACAACAGCCAATGCCATTACTTCCTCTCAGACCATTCTGTTTTCAACAAAACCACGGCCACCTTCAACCACCTGACCTGACAGCTCCACCAGAAGCCTATTTCTTCCCATTCTACCGATCCACTATTTCCTGACAGCCGCTCCCTTCAAGGGGCTCACCTTCTTTAGGTGGGTACGGGTATCACAACCCTGAGGTACCCTAGTGATCTTTTCCTTTTCCCAAGGGGCTTACTATCTTTAGTTAACACGGGTGTCACGCCCCCGGGTTACCCCAGTGATCCTTCTCTATTTTCAACCCTCCATCTTTCATCCAATTTCTCCTTTTCTTCTTTTCCCGTCCAGACCACAGACCTATGAATGTTTGGCGCAGTATAGCCAAAACTGGATCTTGCGTCAAAAAACACAAAACTCACTAACTCACTATCCTGACAGCAGCTAACCAACTACCAGGAAATACCTTACCCGACACTCGCCGACCATTCGAATGTACAGTCAACCACTACACCATCATCAATCATCCATGACAGCCTTCGAACATCAGTGAAAACAGAAACACACCATGTCCAACCCTGACGTCACTTGCCACCTGACCAATCAGGAAGAGACTTCTTACTGTCTACTACAACAGACGCTTGCGTCACTCATATGGACTTGTTAAATTAAATTTAATGGACTTTTAATTACTGTAATCAACTTCTAAGGATTCTGACACATTAGATATGGGAAGAAGGGTATTTATAAAACCCAGTTTCCCAGTGACCTCCAGCCTATGTTTGGGTGGAATCTTGCAACTTAATTCTGAAGTTGATGTCTTCAACCGATTGAGCTAAATTTTTGTATACACGTTTAGATTGGATGACAATGCATGTTTTGACCACTTATATTCCTATATCGCAATTACTTAAAAAGATATTAATTAAAGTAATTTGTTTGGGTCGAATCTTGCAACTATATATATTCTGAAGCAGATGTCTTCAAGCGGTTAAGCTGAAATTTTGTATAGACTTTTAGTTTGGATGACAATGCTTGTATGTGATTTAAGCATTTATATTCCAATATAGCAATTAGTTTATAAAAATATTGCTTAAAGTAATTTGTTCGGGTGGAATCTTGCAACTCAATTTTGAAGCTGGTGTCTTCAACCAAATGAATTGAAATTTAGTATACACGTTTAGTTTGGATGTCTATGCATGTTTTGATCATTTATATTCCGATTTCGACCTAGTTACTGTAACAATCATGTTCAGGTGCTAAGTCGAGGATGTTTACATTAACACAGGTGTGAACCAGGGGTGTAGTTCATATGGAAGACTGCTCGCTTAGCATGCGAGAGGTACGGGGATCGATTCCCTGCGCCTCCAATTATTATTTCTCTCTCTCTCTTCGTGTAAAATATTTTTGAAATTCGTTTGATTTGTACAAAAAGTTATTTTACAATACTTCCACTAAGCATACGTACAAAGTATGTTATATTTTTACTGTTCTAGAGCGAACCCTAAGAAAGGCAGATCTATTAAGCTATTTCTATTTACTTTGAATCATTCTATTAAATCTATTTACTCGCGATTCTAGTTTCTCACGTAACACTTTTAATTGACCTAATCAATGTAAAGATCTTGTTCAGGTGTTGAGGCGAACATGTTTACAATAACACATGTGTCTGCCGGAAACGTAGTTCAGATGGTAGAGTGCTCGCTTAACATGCAAGAGGTAAGGTAATCGATACTCTGCGCCTCCAATTATTTTTGCGTGTAAAATATTATATTGAACTCGTCTTGATACTATTACTGATATTTTTCATAGTTAGACTACACAAAAAATTTCCTAAATAATTGAAAGCCACAATGTTCAGGATAGACTAAATACTGGAGATAAACCAAGGAATGGGATAAATCATTGATACAAATGGCTAGAATGGACGGTTAAAATTTTGATTTTGAAACTTGCAGAAACTCAATTTCCCCCATTCAACAAATGTTTTAAGCGTCTCTTATTTTCTGGAGCAATAACGCTGGAAAAAAGTGCAGCTTAAATTTCAGTAAATACGGTAAATTCAAATGCTTTCTGATCTAAGTTATCCAGCGTGATCTTGGTGGCGAAGTGGTCAAGGTAAGGGACTCGAGGCCGGCGTGTCATGAGCTCGAGCCTAGTACAACTGAAGACCCGCCGTGCGAAGGCGGTCGATGTACGTTAAATCTGTCGAGGCTCAAACGTCCTCCCATTTGTGCGGTGAGGAAGTTAGGAAAGGGAGGTCATCTTTTGTGTTGTCCTCGTCACTTGTCATTAATTCAAAATTACGAGGTCCGTTGCCAAAATCCCTCGAGTAAATGACCGGTGTGAAGTTATTATTCACTTAATCAATTCCTAAAGGATCCAGCCAATGAAGAATTAGAAAGCTTTTAAACGCTATATTCATGCAGGATTTGACGTCCTCCACTTCGGAGGAATTTTTTTTATAAATTGAGATTTATTCTGCTTAGTTAACATTATCTTAGGAGGAAACAATACACGAATGATTAGATTTATACTTTTAGCCATGAATAACGATATTAGTTTCTGTGAAGAGAATTTTATTTTTCCTCTTTATATAACAATATAACTAAATCTCGTTCCCCGTTTTCTTTAAATCATAGTCGCGGTAGCTTTGTGGTCATGGCAATGTACTCGTTGCCGGCGTGCCAAGAGTTCGTGGCAAGAGCCACTTATGAGCCTTTAAGACGTAAAATTTGTCTGAACTGAAACTTCTCCAACGGACATGGCGTGGGAACTGGGGTGACAGCTTAGGTGTGTTCCTCGTCAAGAATGCGTGTCGAAATTACCAGATCCATCGCTACAAGCCCTCTTGTTTCTTCTAAGGGCTAAAACTTTTAAAATCAAATCAAATTTAAAACTGTATAATTTTTTATATTAAGTAAATATATTTTAGATATTGATTTTGTTTTTACGCATGTGCCATTAAAAAAAATGACTAATTTTTTCGAACTAACTGAAGAGAGAAAAACTATGACACGTCTTTAATTTAAAGCTCTGACATTCAGGACTTTTCGTTTTAGATTTTAAAGAAAAGAAAAATAAGATTTCGATATTTCAGTATTGCGTTGAAATGAAGAAAATTAAAATGAAAATATAAATATAAACCGCTATTCATGTTAAGCAAAGTAATCTGTCTTTTGTTACTTCGCTTTATGTTAAATAAGTATTTACCAAATAGAACAAGAGGTAAATCTTTCATTTTAAAATTAGAATTATGTCCCTTCCTCGAAATGATATTTTGAATCAATACGTGCATATTCTTTCCGATGAAAAGCCAAATATTTGTGAAACGTGTCATATGACTCTCCCTCAGGGTGTTGACTGGAGAGCACATTTGCGCCTTCATACCAATGACAAACCCTTTGTTTGTGAAATATGTAAGCTGACTTTCTCATACAACTGTGATTTGAAAACACATTTACTAACTCATACCAAAGAAAAGCCCCAAACGTGCGGAATTTGCAATAAGACTTTTTATCGAGCTCCTGTGTTAAGAAGATATCTGCTTATTCATACCAAGGAAAAGGCTCACATTTGTGAAATATGCAACAAGCCTTTCTCTTTAAGTAGCAATTTAAAACAACATCTGCGTACTCACACGAAAGTAAAGCCTCACAGTTGTGAAATGTGCAACAAAACTTTCTCCCAAAGCAGTACTTTAAAAAAACATTCACTTATTCATACCAAAGATAAACCACATGTTTGTGAAATCTGCAACAAGCCTTTCTCCCGAAGTGATACTTTAAAAGAACATTTGCGGATTCATACCAAGGAGAAGCCTCACAGTTGTGAAATATGCAACAAAGCGTTCTCCCAAAGTAGTACTTTAAAACAACATCTGCGTATTCATACCAAGGAAAAGCCTCACAGTTGTGAAATATGCAACAAAGCTTTTTCCCAAAGCAGTACTTTAAAAGATCATTTGCGTATTCATACGAAGGAAAAGCCTCACAGTTGTGAAATATGCTACAAAGCTTTCTCCCAAAGTAGTACTTTAAAACAACATCTGCGTATTCATACCAATGAAAGGCCTCACAGTTGTGAAATATGCAACAAAGCTTTTTCCCAAAGAAGTACTTTAAAAGAACATTTGCGTATTCATACCAAGGAAAGGCCTCACAGTTGTGAAATTTGCAACAAAGCTTTCTCCCAAAGAACTAATTTAAAAAAACATTTGCGTGTTCATACCAAAGAAAAACCTTATGTCTGTGAAATCTGTAACAGGCCTTTCTCCCGAAGTGATACTTTAAAAGAACATTTGCGGATTCATACCGAATAAAAGCCTTATGTTTGTGAAATTTGCAACAAAGTCTTCCCTCATATTGGTGATTTGAAAAAAAAAATTGAATATTCATGTCAACTGCGAAGCTTAATTTTACGATATTTAGATCTAACCATTTTTAAAAACAGAAATTTGTTAAAAATATACTCTCTGTTTAAAACCGAGAAGGTTTATATTTCTTGAAATTTTAGTTGTGGTCTTCCTAGATAAATCAGCAGTTTCAAATTTAGAAGTTAAAACAAGTATGCGGAAATGCCGACAAAGTGAAAAAATTTTTAGCTATTTATTTTGACAGAAGTGCAATCATGGATCTAATTCTACAAGATAAGACATACTTTTGATGGTAATTTTACTTCAGTATTGTATTCTTATGTATAACCTAAGGCTTTTAAGGACGTGAATGTGTTACTTTTGACAAAATAAATTTTACTGTTTACTTGAAGGAATATTTCGTGTAGGTTCTTAAATTGAGCCACATTGAGTCACACATTAATTTAATCCGTGGGTCTCGATGCAAAGCCTGAAATATGTCTGTATTTTACGGGTGAATTTTTACGATTTATTACTAAATTAAAAATGATGCTTTTCTTTTGGTAGATTTAGGTAATTTGCATTATGTTCTAAGTTTATTCAGAACGACACATTAGGATATAAATAATTTAAATGTGTTTTCCAAAATTGAAGTAAACATGGAAGAAAATATAAATGGATTTGAATTAAAATATTTCAAAATAGTATAAATTTTCTTCTTTTTACATAAACGAAATTTAAATATAAGAGTAATATACATCTAAAACCTAAATAAGATTTAAATGTAAATTTAATTTACAAGCTTGAGTATATATATATTCATATATTATCAGATATTTTCTTATGCTGATATTTCATTAATACAATTAATTTTTTTCATCTTGAAACAATATGTTATAAAGTAAACCATTAGGATTTCGTGGAAATTTAGAAAGGAATTTTATGTTGAGAAGTTATACATTTTTTTTTTCAAAATATAATATTATATTAGGTTTAGTTCTGAAATTATCTCCTTTCTATCATGTTTAATCCGGATTACATTTTCTAACAAATTTTTTATAGGAAAAATATATCCGATTTTTTTCCCTTTTTTGAAACCTTTTTCAAAAAATGTAAACTCGTAAGAAGAATTTTATGGTTTTAATTTTTTTCGTATTCCTGATTGAGAGTTTTAAAAGAAGAAAATAAGGAAACATGTTTATTTAATATTTTTTACAGATAACCTTAGAATAAGAACAATGGGTAATTCTTTTATTTAGGAAGTTTTCAAATACTGTGTTTTAGAAATATTTTCAAACTTACTTTTAGAACAATTCATTTTAAGTAGAAATTTAGATTTATGTAATAGATACATTATACTTTTTTTAGGTGAACTGGATTGAAGAAGGTTAATAACGCATTATAAATGTTGCAGATACAATATTTATTCCTAAATTTCTAAAATAGGAGAAACGCACCAAAATTTTCATTTCATTTATTCTTTTTACGCACAAAATCGTAAAATGAAACTTTTTTTAATAAAAAATAAAATTAATTTACTGTACTTAGAATATGCTTTTTGACATGAAAAGATTCAAGAAATAAATTTTTATTTTAGATGATTGTTTTTTTACTAGGCAGTTTTTTCTATTCGAACCCAAGAATTGTTTTTGTAATTTTATATAGAGATTCTCATTAACGACTACGAATAACTGTTGCGTTATTACTAATAACATTTTATTTAATATTTTTCCCAATGCTTTTAAATACCCACAATTGAAGATATTTATATTATAGTGAAAAATAATTATTTCTTTATATTCAAAGAAAAAAATAGGTTTAAACATTACAAAAATTTGCAATTTATAGAATTTTTTTTTTTTCATTTCGAAGAATATTTTTAAAATATTTTTACATTGTATTGAATTTAACAAAATCTTTTTTCCTAGTACTGAAATTTATTATTTTATTGCGAATTTATTTACTTAAATATAAAATGATTACATTAAGTAAAAATGCTCTGGGTAGAACGTTCTG